GAGCGCCATGGCCGTCGGGGTGGGGTGAGCTCGGTCACTGGGGTGAGAGAAGGCGTCGCCGAGGGTGGGGAGGGCGCCGCACCGGGGTGGAGGAGAGCCACCCACTCCCCTGCAACGCCCCCGCGCCACCTCCATGGATCTCGCCGGAGGCGAGTGAATCTCATTCCTGCTCCATGTATCTCGTCGGGGTAGGCGGGAGCGGAGCAAAGCAAGGCGTGCGGGAGTTGATTTTGTTAGACGAGGCATGTTTTTTTAGGTGAGCGACGCATGCGACAGTGAGTGAAGCGAGGGTTCCAGCCTTCCGAACATCGTAATGGTAGCATTACCGTTATAAAAACAAGTGATTGTTTGTCTTCGAGACGACACCTACTGCAATGTATCACGCATAGTGCATTTTGTCTGATACCTATTACCTGTTTTTGTAGCTATGCAGAATGTTCTATCAGGGGCGGATGAGCGAAGACGAAGCACAATGAAAAACACAAAGACATCTCATATCTAAGGAAAGAAGAAATTACGAGAAAGAGAACGGGCACTGGCGATGCTCATGACTGATGAGTGCTCGGATAGGAAGTAGAAACCGGATTAGTTCAATTATTGCGTGCGTCATTCCTGACGAGAAATGATGCTTAGTTCTAGTTCTACAATACAACTGAATTGTTGAACTTGAAGGGTCTGTGCTATAACTGGGCAATGGCCTATGGAAGCAACCAGCGGCGGATCCAGGAAATATTTTAGGAGGACTGAACAACACATAACTGCTCGATCTTAAGTCTCAGCCCTCCTACACTATAGAACTTTGCTTAAAAATTCATAGGGCTCTACAGGGTTTTCCACAGCTCCGGCGGTATAGGTAGGGGGGCTCGAGCCCCCCCCCCTCGTGGACACCAGGTATGTGACCTTATTTTGCTCTGGAAGACGGCAAGAACACAGCTGCATACTACAAACTGATAATTATCATAGCACGGTATGTCATTGCACATGAGTGTTTGTTGAGTGTTGACTGTCACTGACCCTAACAAGTGACCTTTTACCGTACCAAGCTAAGCTACCATCATATGATTCTAACACATCACATGCTTGCATCTTGTCTTATATGCTAGAAATCTAATGTAGAGACTAAATCTAACATATCACTAGGGTGGGTGGGTCTGAGTGTCCATGTACCATTTTTTTTTTACCTCTAGGATGCCGTTAAGACGTGTTGTATTAAATTCTCTCTATTTTAATACAAAGGCGCGCAAACCTTTTGTATGATCGAGAGAAAAAATGCAGATTGAATCTAATTGTTCAACGATGGTGCACCCTTGTAGAGAAATTTACGGCCCTGTTCGCTTCGCTGAAAAAACAAGCCAAAACACTTTATCCGGCTGATTTGTTGTGAGAGAAAAACATTATTCTAGCTGAAAAAACAAGCTGAAAAGTATGAATTATAAGACAAGCGAACAGGGCCTACATGTACTTTCAGTATATCGTGTTATGATGCACACCAGGATTGTAGTACGCCAATTTTCACTGAATATGGAGGAATTATATATTTATAGTGGTGCGAAGCAGTTTGCCAGGATCTTTCAGAATGTGAGTTCGAAAAAATAGGTATGAATGAGTTCTAAAAACAGGTACTAAATTGAGTTTTTTAACCTACGGGGCTCTGTCATCCAATTAAGGAGGAAAGAAGGTTTAAGTACTGATTGGAGTTTCATCCGTATCTGAAATGAGAATTCAAAGATACAGAGCTCAGATTGACGGCTTGATATCGTTATGGGCTTACGGACGTGAGCAGCTCTTCCAGCTGACGCCTGACGCCCTTCTTTCTTCTCGGATGCTGCCACTTTCGGAGTCTCACTTGTGAAAATTCTTCAGACAAGCCCAACCATCAACACAGGTTAAGAATGGCCCAAGGCGACAAAATTACAGGAAAGGCCCACTCTCTCCCTACAAGTTAAGAATGGTTCAAAAGCAGAAACTTTGCCAACTGGATTACTGGAGTGACACTAATAATGCTGTTTAACACCAACTTAAATAGCCAGCACTCGGTGGCTCACTCGCAGAGCAGGTAGCGACTGCTTGTAACCCTAGCGGGGGCAACAAGGTGGTGTGGTGGATTCCAATTGCGGCGCTTGGACCTAGGCCTGGTGCTGCAATCTACGGCCTGCCCGTTCCAAGTTGCGTAGTGGGCTGCGGGTGCTTTGGCTTCCTTGGCTTCCCGGCACCCGCCTAAGGCCCATGCACCCTCTCTGGCAGAACCACCATTTTTTTTTTTTTTTTATTTCCCCCCTTTTCTTCCTCCCCAGTCGTCTGCCACTGCCAGGCCCATTTGTCCAACCAGCGTTCAGCGAAGCCACCGGCGAGGCATCTCTTATCACCGTCGTGAACAGCCTGCACAGGATATCCACCCGGTGTCCTGTCTGCGGTTGTTCTACGGATTGCCAGACAAAATGAGGTCACCTGAACTATCGATTATGCAGGGGGTTTGAGCCTCGAGGCACTGGTCTTGCAGACGCTTGATACATTCGGCCGGGAGGAGAGCCACTGCCAAGATGTTCTTGCGCTCTTGCCATTTTGTACATCTGCTCCTTCACTGAAGACGCCGCCGGTATCTCGTCTTCTCCAGCGACGATTAGCTTCCCTTCACTGAAACTGGTAAACTCTGCTATTACCAGTACGCATGCTAATAGCATCAGGCTACGCCATGTTGAAATCATCATTGACGTGGTGGAGAACAGGAGCAAGAAAGCTGGACTGGAAGGGGTATGGAGCTGGGGCAAGGTCAAGCATCAAGCAACCATGCAACTATGCAAGTAAGCTGATGCTGAACTGAATTGCTGATCAGCGAGGACTGCGGGCTCACTTCCAGAGTTAAGTAGCAGAGCACCACAGGTTCGGTGGCGTGTCATTGCTCCAACTTTGGATTCGTCTAATTATTGCTTACATTGTTGCATTTATCTAATGCATGACAGATTCGTCGTCATCTCAATATCTCATATGGTGTGACATCATGGCTTGCTTGTATGATTAATCGAGGGCAAAAGAGCAGTTGGGCTGGACGGCAGCCGAATTTAGATTCCAGTCACAAAGTTGACTGAACATCCAGTGAATACGATCCTACATCGGCTGTTTGGGCAGTTTGGCCACATCTAGGTAATCCTATCTTTTGAAGTTAATTCTGGTATCTAGCATTTTTTAGAGTTCCAGGGTAAAAAAAAAAACCTGTCCATTTGGATTAACAATAGGGCAAACAAGTTTAGAGTTGCATTCTTCGCTCACACATACAGTTGAAAGTTCAGAACATCAATCAAGGATACGCAGTTGACCAAAAGTTGCAGAATTTCCAGCAGTCCCCACCTATCCTCTTCACTCTGAGAAAAAATGCCGCGGTGCTAACGTGTTCGTCAACTCCAATCATGTCGCATCAAGTTTTCTTAAAACCAGCCTACGTGTTACTGCTGAACAATACATTTTCTGATGAATTACCATGTCCTACAATCAGACAGAGAGCCTGCAAGATTGGGTACTACACATGGCCACCGGACAACCACCGTCAACCAGGGAAGGACTAAAATCACTGATCATGTTGGTCATCTGGGAAATATGGCGAGAAAGAAACGGTAGAGTCTTCAGGAAGGATTGCAGGTCTGTACAACAGCTGTTCAGCAGCATACAAGATGAGGCAAAGACATGGGCTTATGCTGGAAACAAAGGACTACAGCTTCTATTGGCCACACAACCTATGCAAGTTGATGTGCTTTGTCATGCTCGCTTGGCTGATAAGCTATGGCTGAAAGTACTGTTGATTTGTTATGAAAGAAAAATATTATCCGTTGACTGAAAAAGTACGGCTTATAAGCCAAGCGAACAAGGCGCTTAACGTTGGCCAACAGGCCGTAGATAGTGCGGTAGTTGTTATTCCTAGTGTGTAACTGTTCCTGTAATTCTCGGGGTGGCGAGGGGTTCAGCATCTGAACACCGAGCAAAAGGTGGGGGCTGGCGCAGCTTGTGCCACGATAAGCTCCATACTGTAAATCATCTCCAGTAAGCTCCATACTGTAAATCATCTCCATTCTTATCGATGAAAGCCGGTAACGGATCTTTCGAAAAAAAAAGAATTATCATCTCCTACTCAAAGACGAGAAGCGGAAGAAGGGGAAAAAAGTTATCCTCTACTGTCCTTGTTTCTTTAATCTATCAGCTGCCACCTGCCTGACTAAACAACGGCGCGCATTTGGATCATACTTCATCACTTGTCACGAGGCGTTTGGGAATCAACAATGCTGATGTTTTTTTGAACCCTTGGAGTGTACTATCGGCTAACTCACCAATCATCGTAGCACTATTCTATTTCTATCAAAGACATCACAGAGCTGATCTTATTTTAGTCTGCACTGCACATGGACAAGAACACGCCTCTGTATGCTAGTCTTGGACGAGCAGGCAGTTAGTGCTTACTTAATGAAACACGTGTCACAAAGGCACGTTCGCGAAAAAAAAAGCAGTTAGTTAGTGCTATTTTCACTTGCAGTTGCAGACAGGGGTTGCCCTGCAATTGACCACTAGATTTAATTCCCATCATACAATTTCAATCGTCATACCATATCACAGGATTATCTGAGAAATTCCCATTGAAAAGACTACAACAGTTAAGCATGTAGAGAAAAATACAATGTCAGAATCACAAATCAGTGAAAATTCTCATCATCAAAAAGCATTTTGTAGATAAAAGGAATTTTATTTCGGCCTCAGCAAGAGCTTTGCACTCAACCATCCGTTGCTACAAAGTTTCAGTCTCTGACTGACTGATGAAGAGCAGCTCTCAAAAGTGACAAAAGTGAGAGAGACCGTATGATGAAGTAACATAGCACCAAACTAAGCTCTAACCCTATACTAGATTACATGACCTCACGAAAGAACAACAACAGCTTGACTAATCACTCTGTATGGCGGCATAAAAAAAAACTCTGATTATCTCTCGTTGCAATTGCAAGTGCAGAACGGTTTCTCCTTCAGTTATGCAGAGGGTTTGGCCCCTGGGGCACCACCCTCTTGGACACAACATGCATGTGCTTGCAACAATCACCAAGGTGTCTCCCTGACGCTGAAGAAGATGACTGTTTGGAGAAGCAGCAGCCTTTGGCCGGCGGCGAGCCGCCGCCACGGCCTCGGCTGTCGCTGACTGCTAAGACATCCAGCTCTGCAACTCTTCGGCCATAGCCGACGATGATTGCCAGCTCTGCCATTAGAAGAAGACTGATGAGCACCAGCGTCGACCTGGCTTTGAGGGATCTTCTCGCCATGATGCGATGCTGCGATTCAAGAGAAACGTTAGAGAAGAGAAGGCGAGGTGGAGGGAATCAGTGAGGAAGAAGAAGAAACTGGACACAGAAGTTTGAGCACAAATGTGATGCTTTGGTGCTTTATAGTGAGAATATTTATGGAACACCAACAACTTTTTCCATTGGAAGTCAGAAGTAAATGCCATGATGAGCACAGACTTGACTTCTCATCGGCGACGTGACGTCGTGACAGATTGATCTCTTATAATATTTATTACGGCATGTCTTGAAGAGAACAGTGCACATAAATTTCAAGAAGAGTTTGTTTGCTTTGGTAGTTACGCTGAACCTCACTCACATGGCCATCAGGCCATGCTCTGCTGAGTCTATCGTCAGAAAAGAAATTGTGCCAGGATCGAGCCGGGACTTTGCAAAGGCTGATGTGTAGACATTTGGGCTAGAAGGGCTTGTCGTAGAAGTCTTTGACGGGCGCAGAAGAGCACAAACTGCACCGTATCATCTATCCATTGCACCATATCATCTATCCATTTTAGTTAGGTGTATGCGTCCAAATTCGATTGATGTGAGAGAATTTGACGTTTGACGCTAAACAGGCCCAAGAGTTTGACACAATCAAAGGCCAGAGTACACAGGTGGCCATCAGCCATCAGTGTTGGGTCGGTCGTAGCCATTGCCTTTTTTCTTCTTCGTAAGAACAAAAAAGAAGTATTTTACATGGATTTCATGCCACGTGAGTGGATTTTTAGCACTGCGCTGCGCTTCAATGTAACAAACCTGTACTTAAAATTCTCGGACAAGGGCACAGTGTTCCATCGGCAAGTAGTAGAACTGTAGAAGCATGAGTGTTCCAATTCCAAGGAACTGGAAGTTCACCATGCATGTCAGTATGCCACGTGCCTGAACCTGAAGGAACTGCAGCCCCGCACCAGAGTTTAGTCATTCCACGTTAAATGTTTGACAGTAATTTAGAGTATTAAACGTAAACTAATTATAAAATTAATCGCATAGATTAAAACTAAACTTAATTGCATAGATTAAAACTAATTTACGAGACGAATCTATTAAGTCTAATTATACTTATATTTAGTTTTTCTAATTAGTATCTAAATAAACAACTGAACTTTAGTCCTACATGCAAACAACCCCAGTACACCTCGTCCTCGACAGCTGAGCTGGCTACAGCAACCAACTGAACCCTGGTTTTCCTTCCCGGATTGCTCGTGGATGTGACCGCGCGAAAACGATGGATGGGGTGGGACGGCCCGACGGCCTCGCGCTCAAGCCGTGCGTCAAGAGGTTCACACTGATGAGCGGCGTCCCGCCCGGCTCCTGGGTTCCCTATCCCTTTCTTCTTCGGCACGGAGCATCGCTCTGAACAGAGCAGACAGTGACGCCGAAGAGCGCCCTCATCGACGATGGTTGGAAGAAGAACCCACACGGCCACACCCACTTTTCTCTGGGATAGGGGGAGTGTGCGTGTGCGTGTGTGGGCAACAAACCTGCTAATGGGCTCAAAACCACATCAAACTGTTCTGTGAAAGAACATTAAACCACAGAGGCCCAGACCCCACCACTCACGCTCCTAAATCCAAACCAAACCATACCATCTCAAACCGGTTTCAAACCACTGGTTGTAGCTGGTTTTCCCGCTGCCGCTCACTCTGTTACCGGTTTACCACACGCTTGCGAGTACGATCGAGTATGTGCACACGCCAACACATGGATCTGCTCAACACCGTTTCAATAATATTTCAATCCTTTATTGTCCAACGTGGCAAATCTTGTCGCGCCAATGCATGTGGCGCGACAAAGTTATTGGTCGCGCCAGCGGCACTGGCTCAATCAAAAGGGTCAGATCCGCAAAATCTTTTCAGATGAGGTTATTATTAAAATATTAAATAAAAAAGATTAAAAATAAAAAAATCTAAATGTAGCCGGAGGAGGAAAACATGCGAGGGGGGGGTGGAAATATAGGAGGATGAGGAAACAGGCGAGGAGTACAGTGGGCAGCAGGTGGGAGCAGCTATGCAGGTAAGGCAGGTGGGTGCAGCTGCAGCAGTGGGCAGCAGGTGGGCAATTTAATCCCTACCACATGGGATATTTGATACTGATTAAAAGTATTAAATATGAAAAAAGCAACATGATTGGTATTCATGATGTGTGGTAAATTTTTATTAGAATAATAACAAAATATATTAGGAGGAGCTCCAGCTCCAGCTGCTATGGCCCCAGTATGCTCCTTGCAGCTCCAGCTCACATCGAATATTTAGATGTTATAAGGAACATTAAATATAGATTAATTACAAAACCAATTACCAGATATGCTATATTAATCTTTTAAGCCTAATTAATCTATCATTAGCAAGTTCAGGCCACTAGTCTAAGAATAATGCCAATTATGGCATTATACTTATTTATTTAACATTAAATAAACAGAAGAAATTAAGTGCATATGACTCAAACCAATCCGGCCTCTACAAAAACAAGGTTAAACTCTTTGGAAATGCTAATGCTCAACAATCTGAATACAGGGCTAACGTAGAAGGTATACAATATCAGTAAACCTTACAAGTATAATGCCAAAGGAAAACAACATCAGCCACATTGATAGATTCCTGTCTATTTCGTCCGAATAAAGTATATAACTTAAGATTAAGAAGAATGGAGCTCTTGCCACAGCAGCTCAAGCAATAATGTACAAAGAAAAGCAGCTGGAGTAGAGACAATTTGCCACTCTCCCTCAACAGATTGAACTGCTACCATGGCGCTAATGTGCGGCACAGTTGACATCTCAGCAAGCAGGGGAGGAGCTCAGTAAGGGAAATGATCAAAAAAATTGGAATCAGATTGGAGGGTATGTATACACGGTTAAGAAAAATTGCTTCATGTCCTCAATTTTGGGTCTTCTCCACCTTAGCCTTGATCTTCTGCTCGATGATCGCCTTCTCAGTCTCGAGGCTGAACATCCGGTTGAGAGCGTGCATGTTCTCGAGCGTCTCATCAAGGGTGCGGCTGTTACTGCCGTCACACCTCAGGTGCTGCAGCGGACCGTGGAGGAGCTTGTTCACAATGCTGGTGCTTAGCTCCTCGATAGCTCTCCTCATCTTCTTGGTGAGAACGTCATCCCCGATCTTCTGTAGGCACTTCTCGAGCTCCGAGGCCCGGATCCTGTCGGCATATGACCTCAGCTTCTTGATGGTTGGAACGGTCTCCAGAGAGTCCCTCCATGCCTCAAACCGTTTCAGCTCTTCAGTGATGATTGTCTGCGCCTCCATTGCCTTCCTGAGACGGTCTTCCTTGTTGGCTTCCACCACCTCTTTCAGGTCATCAACATTGTATACTCGTGCGGAGCCAATTTCAGAGACACACGCACTCACATTCCTTGGGACAGATATGTCAACGAAAAGCCGAACACCACCCATGGCATCAGAAATAGTGGGAAGTGCATCTGCGTGCTCTTTTGTGAACAATGGGGTTTCAGATGCAGTGCTCATGAACACGACGTCAGCTTCAGCTGCAGCTTCATACATCTCTGAGAGCGGCCTGTACATAATCTCAATATCTTTCGTCTCCTTGCGGATTGCATCCACCCTTTCCACTGAACGGTTGACCACAACCACCTTCTTGCATCCTTTGGCAATCAGATGTTTGATCACTAATTTTCCCATTTTGCCAGCACCAATCAAAAGCATCCTAGCTGACAGGGCTTCAGACTTTGGAAGCTTCATCAGGGCCAATTCAACTGCCGCTGAACTGACAGAAACAGCACCAGATGATATGTTAGTCTCAGAACGCACACGCTTTCCAGCTGTAATTGCATCCTTGAACATTCTATCAATGTTCTTTCCCAGGCCTCCACTGTTTTGTCCACTTCTCACAACTTGTTTAACTTGAGCAAGGATTTGTCCTTCACCGAGAACCAAAGAGTCCAGCCCAGCTGATACCTCAAACAGATGGCGTGTAGCATCACTGTCACGCATCATGAACAGGTGCTCCCTAAGCTCAGAAGCAGGAATACCACTTTTCTGTGAAATCGCAAAAAAAACACGCATTAGGGAATCTCTCCTAATCTGTCTTTGAGCAGCCAAGAAACCGGGGCAAAAAGACAACAGACTGAACAAATAGAGTTGATCAATTGGTTCTCACCTTTGACATCCAGTCCACTAGTTCTCTGATACCTCGGTTCCATGATAGGGCCACCACATAAATTTCCATTCTATTACAGGTACTAAGAACAGCAGCCTCTTCAATATGGTTTAGACTCGTAAGTTCTTGAATAGCACGGGGCCATAGTTCCTCTGCAACCGCAAGTTTTTCACGCATCTCCACTGGTGCTGTGTGCACACTGAGGCCAATCACAGCTATGCTACTCCTTTCCTTCATGTACCCTGGTAGTGAATATAAAGTTAAAACATTGTCAAACACTGCACAGAGCAAAGCAATTTGTTTCTGAAATAGATAATTTGGATATAGTCACACATCAATATAAAGCTCTATTAATTTATTTTCAAAGATTTATTCAAGCAAATTCTAAAGGGTGAAAATAACATGCTCACACTAGATGAATATGACCAAAACAAGAGAACCCCCAAAACATCTCTGCACAAGATGCATGACCAATAGCTGATTGCAAAAGCATATGAATATAATTATTTGACACCGTTATCAAATTAGATTTCTCCTCCTTATAGGAATACAGTTAAATATACATACACTATCATTTACTCCTAGGTTCTTACAACATGTAATTTTGGTGAATATAGATAAAGATAGCCATTCAATTTTCACCAGAGAACATATTTATACAGACAGAAGCTCCACCAATCTGTGAAGCATATAGCTCCACGATCAGATAACAGATTGAATAAACCCCCCAAATGTAACTTTCCATTCCCTATTATCGGCCAGACTCAGTTCAGAAACAAAAAGTAATCGATGTTCCAATCTGGATGCCGAGAAGTTTCCTCATCCCCACGACCCCTTGCAAAATGGCAGAAGCTATTTTCTCTTTGATGCCATGCGACCTGGTATCCTACTCCACATACTAATTTTACTTGGCAAGAAGTTAGGCAGCGAACATTTCTAAATTCTAAGGAATAGTAGTACAATGAATATTCAAGTTATGCTTGGTCAAGGCAAAATTGCAACAGGACAATGCAAAGTTCACACCTACTCGTCCATCCCCACCAGGCCACCACCCACACCTTTTGACCTGTACAAGACCAAAACTAATCCCAACTGCAGCAGCAATAACCTCGAAGCAACGCAAATGATCCATCAATCAGTTCGCCGGGCCGTTACAATCCGGGTCATCCCAACGTTACAGGAAAGGCAACAGCGGCGGCGGATTTGAGGGCAAGGCACTCACGGTCGGCGGAGATCTTGAACTGCTCGAGCGCGGCGATGCTGGCCGCTTTGGCCACCGCCTGCACCTGGGCCTCCACGCCGGCGTCGCAGCGCACCACCACCCCGGAGCGCCGCCTGCCGCCGGCGGCCACCCTTGCGCAGGGAGCCGACGACGATCCCCGCGGCTTGGCGGCAGCCCCGAATGCCACGGCGGCGGCGGTCGCCGACGCCGTGCTCGCCATCATGCAGATCAGGGAAGACAGAAAGCCGCCTCCTTTCGCAGGGGAACCAAACCAATGCGACAAGAATTTTTCGCAGACAGATAAGCAGGAAGGGAGAGAGAGGCGAGGAGAAACTCTTATGGGCTCCTCTCTCTACCTCTCTCCCGCCCTAGGACTCGGAGCAGTTCTTGGGGAAGGGTCCTCGGTGAGAGCGGCAGGAGATGTGGAATTGGCTTTGGCCTCGCGTTGGCCCGAGGAAGAGCACGAGTTGGGTGGAGAGGAGGAAGAAAGGCTTCTGCTTGGAGCCAAAGGCTATGGGAGGGAGGGGCGCCCGGCCGGAGGGGTTGTTGAGTCGCCGGAGCGGAATGGCGTGTGGGGCCCACACGTGGTGGGGTGCCTTTGGGCTAGGTCTTTGGGTCGGCCCGGAATTTTCTATCCTATGAAAATATTTTACGAATGGGCCCTCGTCATACCGCAAATATCTCTTTTTTCTTTGAAAGCAATACAGAGAATATATCATACTCTCCCTCTCTTTGAATAAATAGATTCTTATAGTCTAAAGTCAAGCTTTTTAAATTTTGACCAAATTTCTAGAAAAATTGTTAAGATTTATGATATCAAATTAGTATAATTAGATTTATCATATAATATATTTTCATAAGATGCTTATTTTATGTCATATATGTTGTTACTATTTTCTATAAAGTTAGTCAAACTTAAAAGACACGGATTATAGGAATGGGTTTATTTAGAGACGAAGGAAGTATTAGACTTCTTCTTTTCTGTCAAACTGAACTTAACTAGCTTTTCTATTACTCCCTCTATTTCAATTTATAGGTCGATTTGGTTTTCCTAGATACACAACTTTTATTATGTATATCTAGACATATCGTATATCTAGGTGCATAATAAAAACTAGGTATCTGAAAAGGACAGAACAATCTATAATTTGGAACATAAGGTGTTATTCTTTTATACTACATCCGTTCTAAATTATAAGTCGCTTTGAGTTTTTTGATACATTCATTTTGCTATACATATAGATATAATAATATGTCTAGCAAAATAGATTAACTAAAAAGTTAAAACGACTTATACTTTGAAACGGAGGGAGTACAAACTTATCATGATGATGGATTAGTTCTATAGCGAACTCCTGTGTCGTTGGAAGAAGAATCCTGGTCGTGTGTTTGGTTTGCATACACAATTATTACATCTTTTTTTCGTGTGAATGTATCTTAACGAAGCTTACCATGAATTTTGATATGATGGTAGATGCTAAACTAAAATATGAATTGTTCTTTGTATAACAGTTGTTTGTGTTCTAAATTTCCAAAAGAAATGTATCTTGAGTTGGTGAGTTCTTGTTCTTGCATGGAAGAAAAATCATGGACCTCTATGAGATTTTGTGGAAATTGGAGGCCTTGGCAACTTTCCAAGCTCCTGTTATTTTGCATACCTAATTTATGCGCATGTTGATTGCTGCATGTTGTGGGGACGTGGGCTAAGCACCGGGGAGGGAAGAGATGAGCCGGAAGGGTGATAGGGTAGCAGGAGGGGAGTGTGGTGGCCTCAGGCCCGTGATTGGCTGCCGCCCTTATCTTCTCTCGTCTTTGACCCGGACGCAGCTTCGCTTCGCTTTTTGTATGGCCTGCGAGGTGGGCACACGAGTTCCCATGGCCGCCTCACGCGCAGCCTCTCCCGCGCCTGATGGTGATGGCGAAGCGTGTCGGCGTGGTGGCCACACTCTCCTGCTCCCCGGGGCCCGCCTGTCTGTCGCACGGGCCTCTTTGCCGTGGCACGAAACTCAAATGCGTACCTGTTCTGTAAAACTCAATTCCTATTGAGCCCGAAGAAGTGCTTCGTAATCTGGCAGGCAACAATCCTGACAGAGAAATCCCAAATTGCATAGTTCATCAGCTCCAGGCTCTAGGTAAGCAGAAATCCTTGTGCCTTGCAAGGAGCCATAGATTTATTTGTTGATGATGTAGAACTTTATAGAGGTCAGATTCGTAAAAATAAAATCTTGCCTGCAATGTCTTGCCATTACATAAACTTCAGAGGAACAAGTACAATTGCTATACCCAATTCGGTGATCAAACGGGCAGAGAATGGAATGCAAGATTCATGCTACAGGCCGGTTATGAAGCAACTAAGGTGCCTGCCAATGTATCTTAGTTTGCAGATGTGTCCTTGCTCATTTACAGAGTAAAAGGATCACGCCGTGACACGTTTGGTGGAAATAGTGCAATGGTGATTAGCTCCGTACAGTCGAATTGCATACCATCGTTGAATCAGGTAGGTGACAGCTGACAGATCAAAGAAACACGAGGCAACACAACTCCTATCTATAGTTTGACGCTTCTCGTCCATTGAGGAGGAGAAATTGTACATCAGAGACTGGCATAAGCGGAGGAGCAAAAATAGCAACACGTTTTGACGAAGCAGAAGTGAGCCTAACTGCTCCAGAGGCGAGAGCTGCACATATATGACGAAATAATTCATCTCAACATGGAAATGACCAGTACATATCCAACCATTCAATCCTACTTCAGAGTACACATCTACTATTGGTGTAAATTTAGACACTATCCTTGCAAACATCCACGCAACAGGTACGAGGCATTCCGTTATTTCCCAAATTCTGACTACCTTTGGAACATCAGCAGCAGCTCCCCGCCCTCCATTTTGTTCTTCTATCAGAACTGGTGAGATGTCTGAGTGTTTCCTATTCATGGTGTATCGTCATCATGCGGCTCGGGCTCGGGCTCAGGCTCACGCTCAGCCTCAACCACAGGCACAGTAACTTCTTCCCTTATTTCAGGCGAAATGCTGCCATAAACCTCTTCAGCAGGCGCTGCTCTTCTTATGGTTCCTACCTTCACATACTTGCTGGTGAACTTGTACTCCCAGTCATTCAAGGAACCAAGCTCCATTGGCGTTAGGCCAGATATATCACCGTTCAGATCCTGTGGTTCAAAGGACATTTTGGCCAATGCCCTACTGGCATCTTTACCAGCAAATAACGCATATGCTCCGCCAGGTCCATAGAACATCCTGCACAGCGAAAATCGGTTAGAAAAAGGAAAAAGAATATCATGCCATAAGTATTGATCCCAATATGCTATGCATGGTTTGGTAAATTGGCAGTGACATTGTCAGGACAAATATTTTGACGGGGCTATGGTATTTGAACTGCAAGTGGTACATTATCTAGTTACTTTCGTCAAAGGAAACAAGCGATGGTTTGAAAGCAATTTATGCATCATGCTCCAATAAGCCAAATGAGAATCCAATGCAGATATGTTTAAATGGAATTGTCGCTCTCCAAAAGCTTCCAGTAGCACCACATGAAAGTCATGATTCCATCCAAATTGGGGATTCAGTTAGACGTCAACAAAATTTGAAACTGATATATTTATCACTACAACTTATAGTTCACAGCACAACTAAATTCGTTCACACACAAAATAAAGATTTAGGATTGACAGTTGTGACTTGTGAGCAGCACATGTACAGAAGAAATTAAGCACAATATGCAGGAGTTTTCTTGGAGATTCCTACATTTCATAATTATTGCACATATCTTTCACACTTCTTTTTTCTCATGGGGTCAATGGTTAATGAGGAGAAATCAGCAACCTCGGATTGTAGAGAAAACAAAATAAGGACATGGTTATAAAGGAGTGTTAGCACTATATGTGTGTTGGTGAGGATAGGCAGCCAGACACTATGTGAATTAGTTCAATGACTAAATACCATGTTAGACACTCAATAACTGAACCTACAGGCCGAGCATAAGAAGCTCCATCACAAAGACAGTTGGGCACTTTTGACTGCCAGACAAGTATACCCAAAATTCAGTCACACTCCAAAACAAAGATATTTCCACTAGTCAGTCTCGAGTCTCTACCCATCTGGTTGGTCACAACCTTCAGTTCTTTGACATCCCACATTCAGAACAGTTCATTTGCATTAGTGGCACAGAAGAACTCCTCAAATTACGAACAAATGAACAATGTTTCATCATTTTAAAGCGCCTTGTTTTGGAAAGCATCAGTTGTACAAGTGAAGAGAATAAACTACTAATTGACCACGAGTGAGTGAGTGACTGCTACAACAAAGCATAGCAGCGTTGCGAGTTGCGCCGAAATGGATGAATAATTAGAGGTTAGAGCTGAAGGAATCAAGGATTCAAAGGAAGCAACCTGCTCTGTGAGACGTCATAGATCTGCCCCTTGATGGCCATCAGGAGCGGCTTATCGGGGTCAGACCCGTCGTACTGCAGCAGCTCCTCCTCCGGTATCTCACCCACCTGCACCGGCTCTGGGACTGGAGGCGGCGGGGCCGTCTGGGTCTCCAGCCGACGAGGCGCGGGATGGCGCGGCGTAAGGAGACTGGACCCAACCTTGTAGATGGCCGCCGCCGCCGCCGCCGCCACACCCGCGAGCACGGCCAGAGGAGGCGCGCCCTTCGCCGCCGCCCACAGCTCCGACACTGCGGCATCCACCAATAAAACCGGATTCGGATTTCCATGCGACGTCTACACGAGAGCGAGGTTAGAGATTCAGTGTGAGCGAGAGGTTACGCTTCGCAGGGACCTTGACCCCGCCCTGCCCGCCGGCGCTACACCGCACGCCGCAGGACGCGACCCTGCCGCGACGACCACCCTGGAGACATACAACCGTACTCGCGCGCCGACGGCTGGACGGCGCCGAGGCCGAGAGCGATGGTGCGGCGAGGACGGAGGAGCAAGAAGCCATTCAGAACACCTGCTGAGGCCAGTGGAGATTGTCTCCTTCACCCTTAATTAATTACTCCTAATTCTCGTTCACACTCTTTGTGCCAGTGAAACAACTTTTCATTTGGAATTAGTTAGGGTGCGCCAGCTGGCGCGGCGGGCAGTCACCAAAGTATGAGTCCCGAATTTTTTATTCTTCAGCTTTTTTTTAAAAAATATTCACAAATAGATCCTTAGTGGTTTCATTTTCGTTTATAGACCCTGATCTCGGCGCTATGGCTTTTGACGCCGAGGAAACACGTCTCGGCGCCATGGACAATGGCACCGAGGTCTTAGCGAGGCGTCGGACGTGGCGGTGACCTGGCGTCGACGTAGACAAGGCCTCGACGTTTTAGATCTTGGCGCCGAGCTGTTACTCTATAGATTTTGGCGTTTGAAATGAAACAAGTATAATTGTTTTGAAGAACATGCAACAACACCATTGTGGTTCCGCTGGTTAGGGCGTGCGTGACTTAGCCTAGGGCTTGGGTTTGAACCCAGTGCTGATTTTTTTTCTTATAGAATTAACTCGATTTTCAACCCTTTTGATATATCGTATCGAACTGCCCCCAGCAAAAAAAACAAAATTCTTACTGAACAAATTATTTATTTAGGACGCGCGCTATAGTGCGATTTTTTTTCTTATAGAATTAACTTGATTTTCAACCCTTTTGATATATCATATCGAACTGCCCCCAGCAAAAAAAAACAAAATTCTTACTGAACAAATTATTTATTTAGGACGCGCGCTATAGTGCGATGGACACAAAGATGCATCCACCGTGTGGAGCAGGACAAATCGAGATGCTTGCCGTGTCTTCTAGTAGGGTCAAATGCGGTTCGGTGTTGTTGTTATTATTAATCTGTTTCATTCACAGACGATGTAGTTTGTAGATCAAAGGGTTAATGACGCAAGTCTCGGTGCAAATTGCAACCAGAGTGAGATCCATACCCCCATATTGCCTACTACTCCTAGCTACTAGTACTAGTAGCAATGAAAGGCAGCGTGGTGCCAAGAGAAAGCGAACAAGAACACTGGTTTTTTTTTACCTGCAAAAAAAATAAAAAATAGTGGAACGCTAGCTAGCTAGTCAGCGAATAAAAAAGTTGCTACACTGACACTGGTGTCCGGCATGATTACTTTACCCATTGCTGTAAACCTGTAACCATATTTTTTTTTCTTTCTTTCCGTGTTAAAAAGATCACCAGTACTCCGTACATATTACACAGTGCATGAGATAATAAGCAGTTTATGGACATGTTCGGAGATTATGCGTGGAACGGGGATATTATCAGGACGGTCTAGATATATACGATATGAAGGACTGGCCCATGTGGCACGGCTCCGAAATCTCCAGCTAGCTCGTCGTCCTTTTCGAAACTAATCATATTTTCGCACAGTACACCACATTTACGTAAATTTATTTATGCCGCTCACGGTCGACTTGAGTTCACACGGATGATATATCGTTTTCGGTGTGGCGGTGGTGTGGCCACATGCTGGTTCACATGCGCATGTCGATGCATGTCGGAGAGAACATAGTTTTAACCGGCCTCAGAAAAGAGCGTTTGCCATGCCATGCCTCTCACTGCTTAAAAAGGAGCAAATGGCAGGAACATGCCACAGGGAAGAAAAGAATGTGCTCACACCAAAACAAAAGTCTCCTTAACCTAAATAAATAATTTGTTTAGTAAAAATTTTGGTTTTTGCTATGGGCAGTTCGATACGATATATCAAAAGGGTTGAAAATCGAGTTAATTTTATAAGTAAAAAAATTAGTGCTAGGATTCGAACTCAAGCCCTTGAGCTAAGTTGCGCACGCCCTAACCAACTGAACCACAATAGCATTGCTACATGTTTTCGGAACAATTATACTTGTTTCATTTCAAACACCAAGATCTATAGGGTAACAGCTCGGCGTCAAGATCTACGGTGCCGAGCTCGGCGCCAAGATCAATGGCGCCGAGGCCTTGTCCACGTCGGCGCCAGGTCACCGCCACGTCCGACGCCTCGCCAAGACCTCGACGCCATCGCCGAGACGTGTTTTCACGACGCCAAAAGCCATGACGCCGAGGTCAGGGTCTATAAACGAAAATGAAACCATCGAGGTATATTTGTGAATATTTTTCAAAAAAATGGCTGAAAAATAAAAAAATTGGCGATGAGTCTTTCTCTGCAGTACTGACAAGAACTCTTCGGATACTGTTTCAAAAAAAAAGCTCTTCGGATACGCAGTGAAAACAAGCAGATATTTAGGGCCTCTTTGGCATGGCTTATGCCGGCTTCGGCTTCATCTATTTTACGCAAATCGAGGCACTGTAGCGTGAAGCCGTTTTGTAAGCCGGGGTTAAAATGAACTAGAAGCGAAAAAAGCCAGTTTTTCTGGCTTCACCGGCTTTGGCTTCACCGGTGAAGTCATTTTGGATGAGCCGTGCCAAAGAGGCTTTAAACATATATAGCAGAAACTCACAAGAGCTAACCTTCAAAATTATAGCTGGTGGAATACTGGAGTAGGAACTCTTGTATGACTGTAGGATGAATTGACAAAGCTCCACGAGACAACTTCGACTTTCCCATGCCATTAAACCCCTTAGAACACATGGTTTTGACTCAGTGCCTGGCACACCGACAAGAATCACATTTTTTTAGGGCACACAAGAATCACATTTCAGAATATATCACTTTCACAACACTTTTATGGCACATCCTCACATGTGTGAAACCTTGCAAGGAACCTATATCTAAATGCCATATATTGTGCTTGAGTACCATACATCTAAACTTATGCATTGCAACTCATTTCTATTTAATGGTCAATATTACAGTATCTTCCAAGCAGGCCCAAAACTACATTAGCTATATGTCAAATTCAGTCATATTAGACAACGAATAATTGCACAAACTAACCGAGCATCCAAAAATAGAATCTCCTCACATATATACACTACTAGGGATGTGTTCATCAATGATGCTTTCCTTTCGTCACTGAAGACACCAAAATCGTCACATATATTATTTTATGATGAAATTGTGACGAAATCGATTTCGTCATTGAACGAGCGTTATATTTTGGATAACGTGACGAAACGTATATTTTCGTCATAGATGTGCGTTCCTTCTATGACGAAATGGCCCTCGTCATAGAAGAGTATTCTTTCTATGACGATGCATTTTCGTCATTGATGTAGCCCCTTTTTCGTCATAACTTGCCGTCTGTTAGGCGGCCAAACGGCGTCTGCCACGGCGGGCAATGACGTGTCCTGTCCACGTGGTGCGCGTCCACGTTTCAGGTGACGTGGCTTGGCACGTGGTGGTGGCGTGTCGACTACGTGGCGGCCGACGTGGCGATGATGTGGATGTGCACATGTCCACTTTTTATTGGGCCACATGGCATCTTTGTGAGTAGTCCACGTGTCTTCTTTGTGATTGGCTCTCATTTTCGTCATCAAAGTGATTACAAATTCGTCACTGAATAGATTACAAAATAGTCACAGAATCGACTACAAAATCGTCATAAAAAGGTAACAAAATTCATCACAGGTGCACATGCTGAACAACAGATCACAGTATTCCAATTACCATCAACTTAACGGATCCAGTATTCATAGGTACCATCCTTAATGAACAATACTAAACTTGGTTCACATATAACTCACTAGACATCATATTCCATGTACTAGTTTTATCTTAGTTCACATAGGTTATGACATCAACTATTAAAAAGTGGGCAAGCAACATCAACATAGGTTATTGCATAAGCAAAATCACCAGCACGGACCCCTTGCTTCATCAACCAAAGCCAGACTACGCTACGCTGCGCCTCATGTCGAAGAACCATTGTTGATGGCCAAGATACGCTTGAGCAGCGCATTGTTCTCCTCCATTGCCTTGGTGTTTATCTCCGTCAGCTTCTTGTACTCCTCCATCTCCTTTTGTGTCCTAGCCAGCTTTTCCTCAGCTTCTTCACTTCTCTTCTTGAGATCGTCGATTTCACCTTATACAGCAGCCTTAGCTTCAGCTGCTAGTTCTTCCCGAAGCTCGCTTTTATTTGATGATGATGATTTGGAGGATGCCACTGGTTTGATGCTAACACTCTTGAGGAAATGGTTTGAGCTGTTCTAGGAGAGCACCTGGGACACAACCTGCACACTGGATACTGTTGTCTCACCTTCAGCAATAGGTTCTGCCCTCAAAGCTTCCATATTTGACTGAAACAGCAATGACCCATCATTAGTTGATCATTATTACATTAATTTGAGGTGCAAATATCACACAAGATGTATTTTAAAAAATATAAATAGCAAGATGTGTACTAGAGAGAGGTAGAAGCAAACCTAGCAAAATGGATGATCAGTAGTACAATTTATCGATTTGTTATGTGGAACATTATGTAAACTCAGAGTTTGGTTCTTCTTGACATAAAGCACAGCTACTCTACAATGAAACAATCAGAAATCACCTAGCATGTGGACACAATTAGTTCAGATTGTTCTTAGTTAAATGCAATCTCATTTCCAAATCAACATCTATCAAGTATTAACAGAGCACAGCTTATCAGTTGTTCAAATGAGATTGGTTTAGCGAGATAATACACATACATAAAGCACATGAGAATAACTAAAAGCATGGGCTTTAGAGACTTGGCTGCAGTTAGGTTGCTTCCATTTTCATATCCATCCAAGATAATAACCCATTCACCATTCCTTGTTTGATACATTGCGCTTTTAATCTATTATATCAATGACTGCTATCCGAATTTATGATTTGCATGTAGATTGTTCCCGAAATAAGAACAACCTTCAGTTAGTACTTAACTTATTTAGCAAGTATATAGCTATGTTGGATTATGACCAGTTTTGAGCAAAAGATGAATATACAAAATGATTAAAATAGGACATGTTATCCAATCAATGAACAAAATGGCACAAATGAAAATGTATGTCGGGACTTACAAGTGCTTCTCTTGCTTGGTTCACTTTGAG